AAATTTGAGGTCTGCTGGCAATCTGATGACATGCAAATGATGTCTCTTTGAAAGGCGGTCGGTAGGCTTTGCATACACACTCGTCGTGATGTTCTGCCTAGACCTTTATTTTCAGGTCATAAAAGCCTTGAAGCGGCCTTCCTACTGTGCACCCTAGATCCATTGTTCCCATATCAACCTGTCGCAAGCTTCTGCCACTCGGTGGCGGTCAAATATTTTTAATGACTTCCCACTCACATCCGACGGTTGAGACTTGTTGTCCAACTCATCTTGTTGAGAGAGTGGACCACGAAACGAGGCTCAAAGCAGGATTCTTGTCTCTTGTGAAGAACTCTAATACATTATAAGCTTCCTTTGTTGCCGAGATTCGGCGGTGTACATCCGTTCATTGACGTTGATGTCATCGTTATCTAGATTGACGTTTACCCCAATCATATTACTGAAGGTATGCAAAGTCCCTCGTCAGACCTACATATCCTCCTCAGAGCTTTAATTGATGTGCCCAACGGTTCTCCATGTCCACAGCGCGGATAATCGCCCTCTACAACTCTTGAGGGACAAAGCTCACGCATGGCTCAAGTTTGGCCCCCACACTTTCGAATCAGTCGTTAAACCAGCAGAGATTTACTCCCAGTCGAGCGCGACTTGTCTCCAAGAACGTTGTGTTCGGTTCTTTACTCGGTTACCCTCAATGTGTTGCTGGACCCACAGCAAAACCTGATCGCCATCGTCTACGCGATGACGAAACTCTCTATATTGACCATAGAGCCCTGGATGGTGGGAGTGGGAAAAATCCCTCTTGACGCCGTCGACGAGTGCGTTTCTATGAGTGCTGAATACTAATAGAAATTTGAGAAGGTTTCACCCTTGGTCCACCTGAAAAGAAAATATCGGCAGGCAACAATAGATCATTAGAAGCAGACCTTTGAAACACCAGCTGGGCGCAGCTCCGTTTGGGTGGCGCACGAACGGGTTCACTACGGCTAGTGATCACCACAGTGACTTCATGCGATGATCGGCGGCCTGGGCTATGAGGAGCTGTGATGCGGTAGCCGCACCATCGGCGGTTCAGACCTTGAGAGCTTCAAGAGATTCTATGTATGGTGGAAGATTTAGCTCCCGAACGCGGCAGCGGGCAGACACTTACGTCCACAGATCACTAGCGACAGAGCAAGTCAAATTTGAGGTCTGCTGGCAAACTGCCGGCATACAAGCGACGCCTGTTTGAATGACAGTTTCTGCATACACCCCGGACATAAAAGCGTACCGTGCCCCCTCCATATTAATTGATCCTGTGTCATATCGCACAATGTATTTCTCCTTCGTCCTCGCCGCCGTTGCAGCTTTGACAGCGTCTGTGTCGGCCAGTGAATGCCCCGGCCTTTGCGACTCGACTGCAGATTGCTGCGAGGGTCAGCAATGCGTGTTGATAGAAATCCCCAGCGTTGTGAGTATGAGCAGCTTGCATCCAGGATCTTCCCAAAGACTTACTGGGCGTTGTAGAATATATATGAATCCATTTGTGAATGGTGAACCAGGCCCGGGTGAGTCATGTTTCTAGTTTCGCGTTGTCGCAGTGTGGTTGATGCATGATGCACAAGTAGTTCGTTGCTGGTTTGACCAAGTAGCTTGCGTCTCGACAAATTTGACTGTTGAGCAAGGGAGACCTCAAAATGGAGGAGCATCAAACGCTCAATAGAGCATCTTGACTCGAATACAGAATATGTGACTAAAGTACTTACGACGTATTATTGGTCTTGTTGTATGCTTGAATATCAAAAGCACCGTGGGTGGGACAAGACGCATACCAGACGGACGGAGTCAGAGCCTGCCGGCAGCCGTGCTAAGGTTAAGGTTATGTGGTCCCGCACGTGTTTAGGAGCTGGACTCCAACCACCGCATAGAAATAAGGGGCTGGTGGGTTCCTCAGGCTTGTCGTGGTGGTAGTTGGCGAGATCATATGGTTTCGGTATGTTTCGGCCCTGCTGTCCGATCGCTAGCCGTCAGGATCACTATATATGGCAATTTGTTGAGACTTGAGGTTTTACTACGGTATAGAGGGTGGCGAGAGTGGAAGAAGGCCATAATAACATAAGGAATGTCAACTAGTTCATTCTATTTGTCTGCCTATCCGGGGAGACGATATGTATTTGTGAAAGGTTCCTTAAGACTTGTTTGCATCTGTTGAATACGCAAGGCGTTGTCAAACATGCGTAAACAAGTTTCGCAGTCTTCAAGTTCCAATTCATTCACGGCTAACTTCATGATCTCGATTCTCGTTCCATCTAAATTCTAATACAATGACACACGCATATGGCAGAGGCACAGCCTGAAAGACGCAATACGTTTCACTCACACTGAACTGGTATTCATGCTTACAACTCAACCAAACTTTTTCTGTGTAGGACGCTCTGAAAAGCCATTCTCTTGATCCAAACATGCATCAGGGACACAAAAATTTTACACGGTCGATCGTTGAGTTCATTATCTTCATCCAGAGAAATTCACGCTGCTAGCACTGAGTCATGGGAATGAAAGGATGTGTTTTATGCTAAAATACTTACACAGTTTGGGCTGTGACTCAAATCACAACGGGACAGTGCACAATTACAGGACGCTGAAAGACGCAGCATGTTTCAACCTATTACCACTTGTCAATCTGCATACCCACGATTCACCCACCACTGCGGTGCCTGCCCGATCTAATTTGCCAGGAAGTCCACCTTGTCCTGTATAGGACGCCATTCAAATTCTTCGTCTTAGTCCGAGCAGACAATGAGTATCTTGCATGGTCTAAGTGTCTTTGGGCTCGTCGTCTAATTTTTTTAGATTCTGCATTATACCGCGCTACAAACCCAGCATCTCTGCGCACTCCAGATGCTGCATCACATCGCACTCCTAATCGAGAAGTACACTTACATACCCCGCTTCTTGTGGCCCCGCCATCAACTGATTCAAAACTCACACAGTTCCATCGCCTTTCTCTCTCCTCAGTTACTCAGCCTGTGCTCCACCCCTGGTTCTTACAAGTCTAGATCTAGGGCCGTTTCGTCTACAACGCGACAATAGCACCAAACCGCTAGCGTATTTCCTACCACCTCATGAAGATGGACCCGGTGTACCATTCTCTGGCACATCCTGTACTGTTTTTTTTCATGAGACCTCCAGTACCTACCAACCGACTCGACTACTTATCATCACGATCCCTCGCTCGTAAATAATTCCCAACGTGCGAAATACCGACACGCAACCGAGGAGAAACACCTCAGCAGCAAACCGTTCGTCACCCCATCCATCAGCCGCCCGTTTACCAGCAACCTGCAACTATACTGTAGCACCCGATGTTGAAGGACACTACATTGATCGCTGCCGTCACAGCAGCGCACGAAAGTTCCTGTGATATCCAGACAGGTCATCGCAATCATACTTGTGGGTCAAATTTGAAGACTCGACCGATGTCACTCCAATGCAACTAAGCCCTTGATCCACCTGTAAAGGAAATATCAACAGGCAACGATAGACCATTAAAGGCAGACCTCGTCAACACCAGCTTGCGGCAGCTCCATCCGGGTGGCGCACGACCAGATTCACTAGGCTAGCGATTACCGCAGTACGTGGTGCAATGATCGGCGGCCCGGGCTATGTGGGCTGTGATGCGGTGGCCGCATCGTTGGCGATTCAGACTTTGAGATCTTAAAGAGATCATATGGTGGATGGATTTAGCTCCCAAGCGCGGCAGTGGGCGGATTCTTACGTCCATGGATCATTAGTGACAGAGCAAGTCAAATTTGAGGTCTGCTGGCATGCAAATGACGCCTGTTTGAATGGTAGGTTCTGCCTACACTCTGGGCATAAAAGCAGCAGTCTTTCTACTGTGCACCCTCCATATCAACTGATCCTGTGTAATATCGCACAATGCATATCTCCTTCGTCCTCGCCATCGTTGCTGCTTTCACAGCGTCTGTGTCCAGTGAATGCCCCAACTTTTGCGACTCGTTTATAGATTGCTGCCTTGGTCAGACATGCGTGTCGGTATATATCCCCAGCAGTGTGCGTATGAGTGGCTTGCATATAGGATTTCCCCAAAGACTCACCGGTATGATAGGAAACATTTATAAACATTTGTCAATCATAAATCAAGCTCGAGTGAGTCTGGTTTCTGGTTTCGCGTTGGTGCATTGTGTTGATGGCGATACAAAAGTAGTTCATTGCTAGTTTGACCGAGATGCTTGAGCAACGGAGACCTTAGAATAGAGGACCGCCTGAAACACTCAATATGATCTTGTTGTAAGCTTGAACATCAAAGTCTTGTGGGTTGGACAAGACGCATGCCAGCCAAACGGAATAAGAGCCTGCTGGCTGTCGTGCCCAAGTTAAGGTCGAGTTTAAAGAGTTCCCAGCAGATTTCCATCAAACAAACGGATGCACCCGACGTGCGAAATCACGACACACAACTGAGGAGAAAAGGTTCCAACTCATTCGTCGCCCCATCCACCAGTCGCCCGTTTATCAGCCACTGCCTGCAGCTATACTACAGCACCCGATGTTGAAGGACTAATCGCTATTGTCACAGCAGCACGCGAAGACATCAATGAGTTCCCGTGATATCCAGTATGGGTCATCGCAATCAAGGACTGGATGTGTTCCAATTCCTTAAGCACCCCTACAGTAGCTTGCGACATCGTACAAGTACCATATGGACGCGCTGTCTCCCGGGTCGGTTGCAAAGCCCCCAAAGCCTCGGTTATCCTCGCTTTTACTAAAGTTCTGCAGCATGTACAGATCTAGACCTTACTGTCTGTATTGTTCCATTTTCATGATATTTAGTTTTTAGGCAGCTGTCGTACATTAGCAAGGGTAGTGGACCATAAATTGAACTTGAAAACATGTAAAAATAGTTCATTCTCCCCAGGTACTACAAAAAAATATACGTGCGTTCCCCGGAATGTCCGACAGTCTCCAATGTATCTCCTGTACCTGTACTCAAGATACCTAGCTCCGAAGAACCCGATGAAAACGGAAATAGTTAACGAAGATAGAAACATGCTGAACGAATTGTGATATGTGTTGAGATAATGAAGTGAAGTGGTGGTATCGCTCATGAAACCTTCAACACTACAGAAAATGTGGAGTTGCGTTCTGGAGCTGCAATCAATGCCGGTAAGATATCCATCGTCCGCGAATTAAATTTACTATCACTACTTACGTCCGTATATGAATGGGACGGAGTGCAGAATGTTTGCCCGCGCTCATGCAATGACGCAGTAACAACCTCCGGAGTTTGATTGCGACTCCTCCTCAACTGGTGTTGACGATGCGGGACTCCGCTCATCGTCGGCCTTTGAAGTGGACAACATAGCGATGATGTTTGAGAATGAGTCCATTGTGCTTTAGGAGATGGAAAGAGGACGAGGATGTAGCTTTTAGGAGTAATAAAAGATGTTGTCTGAGAGATGACAGTTGGATAAAATGCTGATTGAAGTCGCAGTTTCGGCGCACTTATATACCTCTCCGCTGTGACTTGACGAGCAAGAGAACTTTGCAAAATTCCGTATGTTCCGTCTTAATTGTCACCAAAATATCTGTCTGACCGAGACTTACCAGCCACGAAAACCACGCCCGGAGACCCCATGGACACGCAGACAATAAGCTAGCAATAGCGAATGCATATGGGATTACTAGATCGTGTGAGCATGGACCATTCCGATTGGTGGGACGACTCCAGCCTGAGGATGCTTAACAATAAGGTCATCCCAATTAGGCAAGCGTAGTATTCATTGTTAAAGGTCCATGACACTGAGCGCGCCGACGTTATCCCTGTTGCCAGCGGACATGATGAGATACGGTTTGACTCCTGCTGCGTTTGTTGCCTTGCAACCTATTGGAGTAATTGTGGCATAGACACTCGAACGAACGAACTTCCACCTATCTGTCTGTCTGATGACAGGTTTCTAATGTTAATATTTCTCTATAGATTCGTGAGCACAAAAAAATCTATTCCTGACTTGCCTCGGGTGGTATGGTACTGTGGCACTAGGTACTGACGTGTTCATTAGTCACTTGAGCGAGAAACTTTTGCCCCACGAGCGACTGGATTTGTAACTTGGTAGATGCATCGATAATCTTCAGCCGACGGTAGTATACTGTCCAGGAAGCGAGTGCTGAAGGAAATACAACGCTTTGACCTCTACAAAGGGAGTCATGATGCGCATAGAGATGATATTAACGAGCACTCACTCAAGAATCAAGATACTCTACGTGCTATAATTAGAGCCAGTCAGACCTCCGTTTGTCTTCTAGCATCAGTGTCTTCTCGGTTGAAGTGTTCGCTACGCTCCGTGCTGGCATCGATCGTCTCGTACTCCAGAACATATCTCCTTTGTTTCTCCTGCACCGCCGCTATCAACAAGGATCTGCGTAGCTCGTCGTGGTATTTGATCACAGCTGAACGAAGGCCGAGGGGGGGCTCGATGAAGGCGCTCGATGAAGGCGTGAAGAGGATGGAGCTGATATCGAGAGCTGCTTGGAATTTCGGAATTGGTGAAGAAATGGAATGAAGAGAGAGAGAAAGATGGCATACTTATATGACCTTCAAACTTCGTGATGAGCTCACTGAAGGTAGGAATTAAGGCATACAAAGTGGCCCAATCAGCGGCTTACCACCAGCGTTGAACGTTGATGCATTGCTTCGCATTGTCGGTAGAGAAGGAACACAACACAAAAGGAACGACTAGACTCAGGCTGGCTCAGTGGGCGACTAGGTACTAGCAACTAGCTCATGAAACGCGGTTCCCACCGTGGGAAAGCCTTTCCCACGGGCGTGGCTATTTTTTGACGCGGCACCAACGAGCCTTGACGCGGCCACTGACGCGCCAGTGCAGGCGTTCCTATATGTTCTGCATTCGACTCCCACATCAAGTTGGACGGGTTTATGACCATTTTTGTGTGATTTTGTTTTCGTCGTAGGGACATGTACTACTAGCTACATTAACCAATGACCATTTTCTTTTCCTCCCTCTCTGGACCCTCCGAGTCTGTGGAGCACATCAACAATTAACATAGGACTGAATTAGCTGAACAAGATACCAATACTTCCCGAGACGAGCCAAAGCTCCTTTGCCAACACTATAATTGAGTGGTCAGTCATATCCCAGCCAGAGTCGCAGGTCAAACTCATGTTGAAGGGTAGCTGTGACGAGGCTGTGCCGCGGCACTGACGCGGCATGTATGAGTTTTGACGCGCATGTGACGCGGCATTGACGAGGCATTGACGCGGCACAACATGTTTGACGCGGCATGAGCTATGGTTGACGCGGCACTGACGCGGCATGAAGTGGGCCTTGACGCGGCACAGGTAAGTGTGAAGGTTGATATTAGTGAAGATGTTTCTGTCGTGGTATGAGCAGTGCTTGACCCAGCTTGAATGAGGCTTGAGATGACATGGTTGGGGCTTAACTTGGTAGTACGCGAGTATAGAGACTGTATTAGACTTGACAATGTGAGGTCGAGGCTGTAATACGGCCAGAGGACAAGCACTGTAAATATGGTGAGAAGTGAATACAGCAGTCTAGGGCCTGTGCGCAGACGGACACTCACATGCTAATCATTAACCAGGATATTCAAAGTGTTTGGAATTCAGTTCGAGCGACATAAGAATGTTGTTTGAACTCACAGTGCCGCGTCACAGGCGCGTCACGACCGCGTCAATTTCACCTGGCCCCTTTCCCACGGGCCTTAGGAAATTGCCGCATCTGTGCCGCACCCTGCTGCACCCTACTCAATAATGTCTTATATGCCTCTACAATACGTCTACGTCGTGCGCAACTGTCTGAAATATGATTTAAGAATAAGTAATACTATATTCCAGGTGTTTGTGTAAGGCTAACAGTGGTACTACAGTGATATATGTACTTGATGGGTGCGGCAGTGATGCGGTAGTGATGCGGCACGGTGCGGCAATTCTGTTGTTGGGTGCGGCAGTGGCTGTGCACTACCGCACCACTGCATCGACACCAAACCACCCTTCTTATCAAGTCCACTTGCAGCACCGTTATGAGCAGCTGCGCGAAACTTGGTGAGAAGACTCAACGACCCATCACACAGGCTCGCGCCTGTCAGGTCTGGCGCCTCGATGCCTCCGCCTATCATTCAACACCTGTCTTTGCTGGTTGCATGCCTTGCCTGACTTCACTGTCACACATCTCCTCGACCACGTTCTGCAGCAACCTGTGCAAACGGATACCGGGGCTTAAAGGTATGTATGTCATATCTGTGTGGCCTTTTGTCCTTGCAAACTGAGTCTCGTTCATTTCAGAGTACAAACTACTACTACGAGGCCCCAGCCTATGAAGCCTTGTGTATCTTCCTTGGTCGTGGCCGCGGTTTGGTTTTTTTGGTGTGTTTCTCTTTCTTAACTATGTCGGGCTCACTTCCCTCGCTAAAGTTCGGTCCACACTATTAGTCGAACCATGTCAGACTGATCTGCGATGAAAAGCGATGATGACGCACGTCTACTTCTCCTTCAAATTCTGGTGCGTATGAATCTCGGTCGCCATGATTCCAGTGCTCAGGGAGGCCCTCATAGGGGTTCCATCGGTCTTGGTGTGCACCAGCATCTTTTTCCCATTGTTCATTTCCTGCAGCTCCTGCAGCCAACGAGAGCTCGAACATCTGCTGTTCCAGTATGCCAAGACACTCCAAGTCGACGTCTATATCCATCGAGGTCAGATCATAGCTGAGTTGGAGGTCAAGCCAGGCAGCCTGGAGCATCGTGTTTTCTTGCTCTTCGGGAGTAGGAACTGAGTCCATGTCAGGTCCTGACGAGTGACGTTCAATGAGGATATTTTCGGCCGGCTCCTGGAGTAAGTTTTTCTTGCGCTTCGAAACTACAATAGTGCAAGCATGTGCATATGTAGCACAGTTCAGCCCATCAATAATTCGTTTAGCTGCCGCACCCAGTACCGCATCCGTGCCGCAACATGCTCAAAATTGTTCTCTGAATTCAGACTCTCAAATGCATTAGTGTGAAGTGGATAATTAAGGAGTCGGACGAGAAACACTCCTAGTTCAAAATAAGTGTAGTACTTATGATTTGGTATGGGTGCGACAGTGGTGCGGTAGGGTGCGGCAAGTTGCGGCAGTGATGCGGCAATTTACCTGAGCCCCTTTCCCACACTACCTCACTCGAGCTCGTCCAAGTCCTCGGGCCTCAGAAATTAGAATCCACACACAGAGGACAGACGTGCTTCAAGACTTTAGTGCTGAAGATGAATTGAACAACACGGTGTGGTCATTATGGACTACTTACGGTATACAGCAGCCTCGTGTTGTCCTGCAACTAGACAAATGCCCGGTCGCCCTGGGATCTCACCGCCATAGAAATCACGCATCCATCCACCTCATCTCAATCACGCCTTGAAGTTTGTACTGTCCATCGGTGATCCTTTCGCGATCCAAGCCTTTTCACAATTTACCTCGGCTCCGATTGAGGTTCAGTAACGGCTGGAATATTGCACTACAAAACCGTGATTCGAATCTTCCGAGTACGTCGTCCCTCGAGATACCCATTCACCGCGTTATGGACCTATGTGAAACATGGGTAGGACACCCGTGGGTACAAAATCTACCGTAGGTACACACATGTACAATCACATAATATATACCGGCGAAGGAGAGATATGGATCCTATAAGGATCCCAGGTATAAATAGTACGGCGAGATAAACTGGTGTATACTACGGCTACTTATGGTATACTTGAGGTCAACTAAGGTGCGCACACTGCCATTCGAGGTGGTTTAATATGCATGAATCAGGACAGGTAGCCATGTTGTGCGTACATATCCTGAATATGCATGAATTAGGACAGGTAACCACGTTGTGCGTACATATCCTGATATGGGTCGAGTACATGTATGCTACACATCCGTTCACCTTTTCTCCCCAACCCCATCACCGAGCCCAAGATCGAGTGCATATACCCGTCCGAATCAGCGCATATACCCAGCAAAAATGCGCATCAACGGCGGCAGGAAACAGCAGGGTCCTCCACCAGGTCCTCCACCACAACATCCACCCCTGTCTGGTGGTCCAAATGATCCTCCGCCCGTTGCATTGCACGCCTTGCTGGCAAACTTGACGCCAGAAGTTTTACTTGCTCTTGCGGCACAGGCTGTGCAGGGTCAGCCTCAACAGAATCTGCCCCGTCAAAATCACATACCTCAATCCCTGCCCCCCAGTGGACAACACGCTATCCAACCGGACTTAGAAACTGCGTCGGATGTACAGGCGCTACGGGGTATATGCGAGAACCTCCAGCTTGAGGTGAATCGCCTGAAACGTGCTCACCAAGATGATGGTGACGAGGCAGATGATGAGGACGAGCCTGTAGATAAAGGTGTGCGTCAGAAGAAGAAAAAGAAGCTGGCAAAGGGCAAGATACGGACGTACCTTCTCAACCGTCCTCTTCAAGAACTCTCAGCAGCCGAGAAGACTACACGCGAAGAACTGCAGGTGAGTTCATCAAAAATGCGGGCACATATATGCGTACTTACCTTCAAACGTGGTGCAGGAATGTCTTGATACAGCGATTTTCGATGTCACAGGGACTTCCATGGACACGATTGAGACTGATGATAGCGATGGGGGCGACGGTGGAGAAGATCCACGAGAGGGCGAGAAGTTGCAGTTTGCGTTTGGTGGTGACAAGGGGGTACAAGCATTGCGCAACAAGAAGATCATTGATCGCGCAGCTAATATTGTGTGGAACGAACAACATGTGAGTGTTTAATGGATCATCAAATAGTTAGTTCACGTACGTGGCATTCGGAAAGGATCGTGATGCAGAGACTTGCACCCTCGGACACAAGGACGTCAGTTTCACGAAGAAAGACATCGTCGCGTTCGCCAAAGACAAGTTTCGGAACTTGAAGCGTAAGTATGCCGAAGTGACGGACTCTTCTAAACGAGCGAAGCGTCAGAAACAGAAGGTGGTGAACAAGAGGAAGAAGCGCCGTAAGCAGGTGCGTTTATCGAAAACGAACACGAACCTATTATATCACACCACCTACAGCTTTGCAAGGATCGAGCGGACCCGTCAGTCATCGAAGCATACACCAAAGAATATGGCGCGGATCCGACACTTCTCTTGGAAACCGAGTATATGTCTGAAGAGATATCAGAGCTCGAAACCGATAACGAGGAGAAGAAGAAGGCTCACCATAAGATCCTATTGCAGAAAGCTGGCTTCGTTGGGAGTGACGAAGAAGATGCTGTTGTGTGGGAAGTGGTTCGTCAGGAGTGGAGATCCAAGGATGTAGGACCGAAGAGACAAACCTACCCTTCCTGTTGTTGATGTTGCTGACTTGATGGTGCTAGTTCAACGACGTCGTGGAGCGGATCGACAAGATCAGGCGAAGGCTGCGTCGCGAAGCGAAGAACAAACGAGTCCATACTAAACGAGTCAACATCGGAACTGTCAAAGACAACGCACCTGAAATTCCGGTGTACCCATTCATGCTCAGCAACGATTGGCTGGCCAAGTTCAACCTCGAGAATCCTGGCGCTTCACTCGATATCAAGACGTCCAATCCGAGAGGCTTTGGACCCAAAGACGATCAGCCGGACACTCAAGAACAAGAGAACGACGGCCCTGGAACAACTCCCGAATACGGCGGTGGAGAAGCGAATTACGGTGATGATATGGATTATGGTGACATGTAGGATACACTTGCTGTTCTGTGCGCTGTGCTGCTGTGTTGCGTCGTGCTAGAAAATTGAAACTTCCTGTATTTGCGTTAATTAGTGTTGAACTCGCGCGATGAATGACGCTAAGTACTCACTCGACTAAGCCCAATCGTTACCCACATCTTCTGTACGATCTCGTCATTTTTCTTTGTGATCGACGCTCGACAGACTTGGGAGATCAGGTGGGACGGCAAAATGAAACGTTGAGGACCATCAACTGTCGGATCGAGGAAGACTTCGTGGTCCCACAACCGAACTTCAAGCTCCGGACTGCAAAACGATTAAAAAAATACCAATGTATGAATGAGTTTACTTACTATTTAACCCAGTCCCTCATGTCGACGTCTAGCTTCTCTTTGAGCCACCGGATCTCCAGAAGGGTTATCTCACGTGGTACGTGACGCTGTGCATGAGATATTATAGACATGACTTGCCCAACGTAACACCTGCCTCCGATATCAGCTTGTACGAGAGAACTTGACGCATTATTCAGCGAGGAAGATGGTAGGATGCGACGTCCATCGACAACGATATGTGTGAAAGTTCGAGCACGGCTATTGAGGAAATTCGGGTCGTTTGCGTTAGTTGATGCTGCGCGCGAGACGACTTTAGCGTTAGGGTACGAGGATTCATAGAACTTAATTAATTGGTCTTGCTGCTGCCGAGAGAGAGTTGTGAAAGCAGAGGCGCCAAGCGAGAAGCGTGCATCAAAGTCTTCTGCAGCTTGATCCATTTCGTGAGCGAGAGAGGCTACCGTCCCGCGTGTGTCGCCATCAGTGGCCAAGATAATTCTCACAGCTTCTAACAGCAGCATGTTCTCAGCCGATGATTCATCTTGCATATCGGGCGCAGCATTTAGATTCGCAAGCTAAAGGAAGAATGAGGATCGAATCCGATGCATAGAATATCACGCACCATATCACGCAATGCAACATCCTTCTGAAATGCACGCATGAACGTGACTTCGATCTCGCCGTTGCTGTGATTATTCGTCGAGTAACTCTTGAGGACTTTGTTCAAGCGCTCGAAGAGAAACGTCCAAAAGTTGTACACAGGTCCGTAGTCTTGTAGTTGATCGAAAATGTGAGTTACCCAATGATGCGTGGGCTTTACATCGTCGGGGTAAAGCTAGCAGCCCATGTGTGATCAGAATGAGCAAGCTTAGAGAGCCGTACGTCAACGCACCTCGAGATATTCCATAAGGTAGTTGCGGAGCAATTCCTTGGCGCGTGGAATATCAGCATCTCTGAAGGAACGTCCGAGGATGATTTTGAGGGCTGCAGCAAGTTTCAAAAAATTGTCAGGTGCCGACGGATGCATCTGAGGAACGGGCTTCGTTGATGGTTTGTCGTCACCCTTTTTCGCTTTTCCAGCGGTGAGACGAATGAGACGTTGTCTCTCTCTGTTCTCCCAGGACGTTAATGCCTTCTCGTATGTAGCGTTGGCCTTCGGGTACCACTCCTGCCATAGAAAGGGTATCTTTGAGGGATTAGAATTAGAATTAGATCAGTTCTCGTTGCGCTACGATAAAATGAACATACCACGATCGGACAGAATACTAAGGCAAGTCCCTTCCACTCGTCTGACGTCAACGAGCCTCCAGCAGGATAGCCGACTTGTTCAGGGAGGCGTCCAACCCAGTTGGGCATTTCAAACTGGTCAAACGGGCAGATGCCAGTAAGATAAAAGCTTGAACGAAATGAAAACATACCGTCGTTAGATACTCATGAATCTGATCCAGTTCGCGTTCGTTTTTGTCGGTCCGCTTTCGTATAGTGTTAGTTTGAATCCACGAATCGTACCAGTGACAACGTATGATGTGAGTAACGACAGCATAGGGAGCAGGTCGACTCACCGAGAAGGAAACTGTGCATTGGGTCAATGACTGACATGCGCACTGGGTCAAAATACTTCAAGCGTGAAAGCTCGAAGTAGCGTGCGCTATGCAGCTTAAAGAAGGCCTCGCGTTCCTTCTCATCCAGGTCCAGATACTCCTGGGCTCGTTTTGTATGCTCCTCCCCATATCGAGGAGGAAATTCTGATTGAATAGATTCAGTTATATTCACACAAGTAAAAGGTGACTTACTATCATAGTCCATTGCGTCCCTCGTCTTCAACTCGCTGCGTTTAATGTGGCACCTAGTGCAAAATCCCTCTTCCTTGCGATGACCTCCGAACCCGCAGACTTTACAGAGCGCAGGGTGGTCGCAACAGACGGCAACCAGGATCATACGAACTCGACGGCCTGCAGATACATTGTGTTAGCTGAAGTAACTTAGAGAATTGCTTGATGGCGTACCGTTGGGATAATTTGGCGTCTTGACCACGATTCCGTTTTCGTAGAGTGAGATTAAGTTGTCGACGTAGTTTTTCATGAAAAATTGTAACTCATCACTATCAAACTCTTTTGGCCCTGGCGTGATACCAAAGACCATCAGATTTCGTGGTCGGTATCTAGACGAGTGTTCAAAGTCAGGAAGCGAACATCAATTGTAGCAAGTACGTACCGCAAATGTGTCGGCAAGTTCGCAATACAATTTGAGAGGACGCCCGAGCTGTGCGTTCCTGCATTACGACTGCGCTGATAACCAAATCTAAGATCAACAATTAGCAGAGAGTATAGCGTCGCTGGGGAGGAATAATACCCATCGAATCCTAGCGTGATACCAATGCGAAGCTCATCTTTGTCGGGACGTTCTGGACTATTGTCGAAGAAGAGCTCGCCATCGTTTCCCTTGATGGTTTTCCATATCTCTCCATCTTGAATCGACGCGCGCTTCCCAGGTTCTGGAACATGATGGCGCCAAGCATCAAGTTCCTCCTCAATTCCTGCGCGAGAGAGAAGACGAAGGATCGCATTCGAGAGTGGATTCTGTGGACACTGTAGACGTGGCCGTGGTTTGGTTCTTGATGCGCTGGGCTCAAATAAAGGTTCAGAGCAATTCAAACATTTTGTGTCACCTTGAGAATCGTGAGGATAAACGCGGTGGCAAACCGGGCAAACTGGGTGAATATCGAAGTTATCCTTGATGTCGAGGTGGTTGAATACGGTATTGAGCGACCCGGCTACCTTCTCGTCAGGTGCGAGTACAGTGAGGCCAACGAGGATATGTCTTGTGATCTTGAGAATAAGAGTGCACGCGAGATGCGGCAGATGGTAGTGAAGATTTAGCCACGCGATGAGCAGCAGGGTGATTTTCCAAAACCAGTGAGGGGATGCTGCAGCTAAGACTACTGAAGGGGGACGAGGAAGCTCCAGCACTAGCTCCCCTTCGACGGTCATTTCATGGGTGGTGGCATCTTCCAGGTGCATCTGCGGATTGTGAGTTTGGGTGGGCACCACCGGTGCCTGTGAGCCGTCGTGACCACCATCGAGAGACATCACATCATCCTGGCCATCGTCGGGTATAAAATCGATGTCGACACTGTATAAATCATCAGCGAAGTCATCATCAGCACGCAGGGTAGTAAGCTGGGGCTCTGGAGCCGAATCCCCAGATGCAGAGACTCCAGAAGTCTCTCCGATCATTCTTTCAACACTAGGAACCGCACTTCCAACATCGGGCAGGTCGTTCCAACTCTCGCCAACGTCAAAATCATCTACATCCATATCGGGAGCAGACTCGAGCTGCTGCGGAGAGGGTGAACGATGTAGCTCAGGTGGCTCAGGCAATCGAAAAGGATGGTGGTGTGTTGCTGTAGCTGATCAGGATGATCGTCCACCAGAGTCAGTCTCCACGCACCTTCTACGACATGCCGAGAGGGTCCCGCCTCAGGTTGCTGCATTATCTGGTGTGCAGCAAGTGTCTCGATGGTTTTGATGGACTCTGGACGCATTCTTGGGGCCTTCTTGCGTTCCCCCTCCTTCTTGCGATGTTCCCGTTCCTTCCACTTCGGTATCGACTTGCCCTTGGGACCGCATTCTCCAGTACATTCGGAACACTTGCAAAAAACCTCAGTTTTGTGATAAGTCGCATACTAGTTGATTTTTGTCAGTAACAGCGAGATTTCTCGAATGTAAGATGTACTTACATCACCTTTCGTACTTCGATTCTTCTCCTTCTTGTTCTTGGCCATGTGCGAGGTGTAGAGGATGCTCAGGCGGGTCTTGATGGGTAAGGGTTAAGGGTACTTGTACAGCCTGAGAGGTGTTTGCCAAGTTCAATCCATCGCGTACTTAGCAAAAAGGAGTTCGTGATTACACCGGACATCACCGAATCGAGGAACACAAGGTTTACAGATTTTCTAGCGATGCTGTTAGACGGATATTACAATATTTGGTGCGCAGCGACCATTTGTACAGGGCATGTAATTTATACGATGAATGTCCAATGCGAAAATGTGAGCAAAAACATGCGAGAATGGAAGTGAAAACATGCGAAAGGCGTACTAGGCAAACAAATACAAGGGCTGTGAGGAGCGTTCTAAGTGTATGTGTTGTCAGGGGCAACAGCGGCAGGAATGGCTTTGACCATCTCAAACAGGTTAGTTCCTTCGTCCGTCTTGATATCTCTGAGAGCGCGACGAGGGCGAATAGGCGGCCATGGTATGTTGTCATCGCTAAACTTGGGTTTGAGAGGAACACGCACAGGAGCAGGTGGACGCTCCCTGATTCCGACCAATCGTACAGGATTCGCGTGGAACGAGGTACTACTGTAGATACGTTTTGTGTTAATTTGTGATTTAAAGATTAAAAAAAAAGGTCTTACTCAGAACTGGTAGACGTGATTTTGAGAGCTGCGAGAGCGTTCACGATCGTGTTTGCTTCAATAGCGGAGCCGCTGTAAATAAGTTAGTAGGAACATGGAACGAGAACACTCAAAATACTTACGTCTTGATTTTCTTGTTCTTGCGGGCCCTCTTCCGTCCATTGCTCGAAAACAACAACTCAGCTTCACTGTCAGTGGACTCTTCAACATGCATGAATTTGACAGCGTCTTTCAGACGAATGATGAGTTTCTATAGGAGAATTGTTAGCATACAACCAACTGAATGTGTCTACTTAGTACTTACCACGGGACCTGGTTTTTTAGGCGTGAATTTGATTTCGTATGCCGGCCATCCTACGAGGAGATTGTCGACTTCCATAACGATAACGTTGTCGCGGAAATCAGCACTGTCGGTGCAGTCAACAATATCTGAATCAGCCTGAGTTGAAGACATAGTGGTAGTAGAAGGTAAGGACATTATCAAGTTAAAATTTGAATTTCCGAGTCGTTGATTGATTGATTTGGATATATTTACGTCGGAGGGCTTGTACAGCTGGATAGAAGATCTGCACTGATCTCGTTACTAGGGCGGTACAAAAAGGATATCATCCTCCCGCATACCTGGGATGAGGATCCCTCACCCGATCTTCCCTAATCTCTTCCTTGGTCGCAGGGGCCCGATAGAAATCCTCTGCGTATGGTAGACACAGTCAAAGCAGGAGAACCTGAACAGAGGTACACGTGCACTGGCAACCGTCAGGTTGTCGTACCGTTCGGGGACTTTAGTCCACTATAAGTAGCTATATCTTCCCATAGGCCATCAGACAGGCACAAAACGCAGTGATTGCTGGCACAGTTGATTTCTAACCACACCCTTGAAATCAGCCAGTATTTCCCTGAGTGTCACATCCGTCATCAATGAGTCAGGATCAATGTCAGTAGTTTCATCTCTTATCCCTCTCTCGCTCGTTGACTTCATCAACAGTAACTCAATCGTTTGATGGAACTTGGGAGAGACTGTCCCAAGTCGCTGTCAAGGGTGCCGAATATGACTCCCGTGAACGCCAGCCCCATCCTAAATGTTTGAAAGGGACCCGGGTAGACCTCCTTGACTACATCCACGAATTATTAGACAACCGAGAGAAGAATCAGCTCATTTGGCTGCATGGCACGGCGGGCGTCGGAAAGTCTGCCGTTGCGTTCACCATAGCTGAAAGGATGAGAAGTCTAAAAGTGACAGAGCAGACGAAGGTCGAAAAGCGGCTCGCGGGAACATTCTTTTTCTCTCGCAAACACACCGAACGCTGCACGACTGGGTTTTTTTTGCGACGCTTGTCTACCAGCTTGCGAGCAATTTCCCCAGTATCCGGGCGGATGTGAACAGAGCTATCCGCGAGAATCCCTCCCTTTTGGATCCAAACAAATCTCTTCGCGACCAGATGGAGGCGCTGTTTCTCAAACCTCTCCGGAAGCTCGAATTCAGACTGCGCGGGTGTGAGCCGTTGACGTTTGTCATCGATGCCCTTGATGAATGTACATTCAACGCCGAGCTTGTTGATCTCATCCTTTTCCTTGCACAGGCTCTTCGCGAACCTGATCTGCCCGTGACCCACATTCTGCTCACAAGCCGCTCGGAATCGCATATCTGTAAAGCCTTTCGGAATGAAGAGGTGCGCCCCCTAGTGTGCGAGATACCAGTGAAGACTTCTGGGGAAGGTGTTGCGACAATCATCTCGTTAGACGGCGCCGATGTCGACAACGACATCTGTATTTTCCTACGACATTCCTTTGCAGAATTAGAAAATCGTCATCCCGATTTCCCGCAGCCATCAAGGGATGAACTCCAGCGGCTAGCGAGCCGAGCGGGCAGACGTTTCATCGTAGCATCTACGATGATGAAGTTCATCGACGATGAAGACAATGATCCCCGTGATCGGCTTCAGTTGATGCTCGAGCTCACAAGCGAGCTGCTACCAGGAACTGAGGTCTATAAGCTATACGACTCTATCCTGTCCACATGTGCCAATCCCAAGCGGGCATACCATCACTTGTCCATCATCGCTGCCCTTGTGGACCCTCTGCCAATGTCACAAATATCAAAACTTCTTGGCGCTGGCCCGGGCAGGGATGTTGAAACAGTACTCGTGCAGCTACGGTCTGTCATGGATGTCCCTAGTGACAGTTCTCTCCCCGTGAATATATATCACTCGTCCGTTCGTGACTATGTTTCCGAACCTTCAAACTGCAGCCTCCCTCATGTACACGATATCCCATCACCTCACACCCTACTCGCGCTTTCCTCTTTCCGCTTGATGATAAAAGAGATTCCAAAAAGCACGGCCCTTCTTGATGCGCTCTTGGAATTGAAGAAGCACAGCCAAGACATGCAACCCCACAACCACCAGAGATTGAGAGACTCGTTGGCCTTCCTCGTTGGGCCACTAGAGCCACTGTCGGTTCTTATCAGCCTGCTATGGCTTCGGGGAGATCGCAGTTCGGATTTACTATGCTGGCTGGAGACTATGGATGGGTGTGCCTGGCTGCTGACCCAAGGAGGAGATGACTGGTTGCAGACCCGAGGAGCCCATTACTGGTTGCAGACCCAAGTAGGGGGTGACTGGCTACAGACCCGAAGAGCGCATGACTGGTTGCAGACCCAAGGAGGGGATGACTGGCTGCAGACCCAAGAAGGGGATAACTGGCTGCAGACCGGAGGAGGAAAGGACTGGGGGTACACCCAGGACGGGCAGTGCTATCTGCAGATGAAGCGCATACGAGATTGGATGCACGCCCAAACCAAGCAAGACCCACTGCAGACCCAGCGCATGAGATACTGGCCGCGGGATCAGTGGCATAACTACTTGCTGAACAGGAGACGACGAGGCTCACCAGTGAATGAGGCAAAGCGATATTTGATCAAGAATGAGGAAGACCGAGGCTCGATGGAAAATGAGGGTGAGCGGGTCTCGTCTAAGACTGAGGTCGTGCGAGAATGGCTGCGGCTCGTGCAATATCAGCTGCAACCCCAGGGCAGACAAAACTGGCTGCAGTCTCAAGACGCACAAGACTGTCTGCAGACCCAGGACGCACAAGACTGGCTGCAGACCCAGAGCGGACAAGACTGGCTGCAGACCCAGAGCGGACGAGACTGGCTGCAGACCCAGAGCGGACTAAACTGGCTGCAGACCCAGATCGGACGAGACTGGCTGCAGACCCAGGACGCACAAGACTGGCTGCAGGACCCGCGTGAGCAGGCCTGGCTGCAGACCCAGGGCGGACAAGAATGGCTGCAGACCCAGGGTGGACGGGAATGGCTGCAGACCCAGTGTGCACGAGACAGGCTACAGACCCTAGGCGGACGACTATGGCTGCAGACTCAGGACGCACAAGACTGGCTGCAGACCCTGGGCGGACGAGACTGGCTGCAGACTCTGGGCGGACAAGAATGGCTGCAGACCCAGGGTGGACGAAAATGGCTGCAGACCCAGGGCGGGAGGGACTGGCTGCAGACCCATGGTGGAGGAGAATGGCTGCAGACCCAGGGTGGACGGGAATGGCTGCAGACCCAGGGTGGACGAGGCTGGCTGCAGATCCTAGGCGGACGACTATGGCTGCATACTCAGGATGCAGAAAACTGGCTGCAGACCCAGATCGGACTAGGCAATGGCATGGGTAACCCGTGGGTATCCACGAGCTTACCCGGACCCATACCCACCGCTTACCCATACCCATGGCCCAAGGGTCAGCTCGGGTACGGGTTTCGACAAGGGTACATGTGGGTATCATGGGTATATAACCCATGGCGGGTAACCCATGACCCATGCATTGCAACTCGAATAGAAACTCGAATAGACACTGTAGTAGGTACAAACAATATACTAACTAAATCTTAATGGCATCCCAGCCATCAAGCAGCTTCGATTCCTCACCCTCGACATCCTCTAGCACAGCAACAGCTTTCACATCATTGTCGTGTACCAATCCCAGCTTGCTCCAAATGCCGACGCACAATAAGGCTCGAATGGTTTGTGAAGATAGCTGGCTCCGAACGTGAGATAGCAGAAGACGTCCTCGGCTGAAAATACGTTCAACGTCGACAGATGTAGCTGAGTTGATAGTGTTAGTATTTAAGTGCGGGGCATAAGCAAGAAGTTAGTTGAACGTACCGGGAATTGTTAGATAGTCGAGCGCCATGCGGGAGAGACGTGGATATGTTTTTCGGTGCTCATGCCACCATGTAATCACATTTGGGACGTGCTCGCACTCGGTGGCAAGGTATGATGCGAGCTCGTCAGTGACTGTGCGCTTCGGAGCTGCAAGAGCAGGTAATTGATCGAATATATTGTCTTTTTTTGATGCCTGTAAAATCATATCCGGTCAGCGCTAAAGCATACTAGTCAATTAACTTACCTTTCGAAGCTGCGATCCATGGTCATCACCTTTGGACTCTTCATTGAGTGGATCGATGGGCATATCAGCATACGAGAAGTCGAACTCCTCGTGCACGAGGTTGGAGGCTGTCTGGATCCAGTCCTGCTCCCATCCAGCGTTCTTGAAGTAGGTGAGTTTGTGCTGGGGATGAAGCACTTCAAAATGTATTGTTAGTATAGAATTGAATATAAAACAAAACAGAGACATACCCATTGCGATACGGTATGTCTAAGATGTGTCAGTAAGTGAATAGTACCTATCTAATGTCTTCTTGCCCACTGCGAGAGAAGCGCGAATGGCGCTATTCAAATGCTTGTCAAAAGAGCGAGTTGTGAGTGACTCGTCAATGTGATCGATGGCTGGAATAACGGTAGCGAGATTTGGTGTTGAGCGTGAAAAGTATGTTGTGGCATCTTTCAAGATCTGTGCCTGGCGTGAGTAAACTCAAACCGAAGACTGCACAACTCACCTCTAAAATATTGCGCAACTGTCTAGCTATTGTCCACTCTCGTTCACTGAGCTCGAAGTCCCGCAACCCAAACTTGCGGTCGCCAGTGAAGTTGTCAAGTGCCTGCCGGTACTCCACCGCAAAGTCCAGCATATCATAGGTAGAATTCCACCTCGTCGATACGTCGCGAGGCATGATACGGACCGCTAATTCCAGCTCTGGTAGAAGTGCCTTCCACGCAGGCAATAGGAGTGTGGATGAGTGCACAATCTTGAAGGCGAGCTTGCGAAGCTGGTGCACGATGAATGCGTGAGTGATTAGTCATCACTGGTTTAGGCTTACCTTCACAAGGACGAGCTTCACAGGCCGCAGTGTCTTGTGTAGTTCAGCACGCTCGTGTGCTGTCAGGTTTGCGACTTCATCAACCCACCCATCCATATCGTCTATATCAGCGTCCTCTGGATTACCCTCGCCTCTTTCTGCAATGGTGCGTGCATCATCATTTTCGGACCCATTTGCAAGTTCTTGCAACAACCGCTCGTCCTGATCTTCGTCATCCAGGACATCCATGGCTTCAGGCATCGGCCAGTCATCTTCCAAACTTGCCTGTGCATGTTTAGGTACGTCGAACTGTTTGATTATCGACTGCGCAACGAGATTGACGATATGTAGGAAGCATCGTGTTCGGTTCACTGCACCGCTGAACGAATCCACTCGCTTGGCGAGTTCTGTTGTCAGTGTGTCGTTCGAGCTGGCATTATCAGCCGTCAAACTCAACATCTACAAGTTACTTGGTAAGTATTGTCCTTGTCCATTTGTTTGTTTGTTTGTGCTCACCTTCTTTGATATACCAAACTCTTTTAGGATCTTTTCAAAGGCCACTGCAAGATTTTCGCCGGAGTGTGACTGAATATCAGATGGTTAATGAGTTTTCTAGGTACGTATTAGATTATCTTGCCTCTGCCACCTCCACTATGTCTAGAATCATGGCTAACGGCTCTCCGTTTTGCTCTAGATGTACTGATACTGCCACGAATGCCTTGTGGTTTGGCGAAGTCCACGCATTGGTGGTGAAATTCAATTGGCCATCATATTCCTGGTAATATATGAGATTTAGTTTAAGTATAGTGAGGGTACTGAACTTGTAGCATCTTAGCAATTCGTTGTCGTGTGCGAACGAACACGAGCTTGACGTCGCGCGAGACCGTCGATGGAGAAGGTATGTAGTACTCAGGCCTACCCGTTTTCATTAACGACTGAAAGCCACGATCTTTGACGATTGTGAATGGTCGCAGGCTTTCAGCTACCCAGCGGACGATCTCTGCTCTGTTGCCACCATCAACCTCAACATCAGCACAATCACAACACGAGTACGTACTTCGTTTCTGTTCTTGTGTGTTGCCAGTGCGAATATGTGACCTTGCCTTTCCCAGTGCGTTCGAACGATGCTGTGATAGAGCCGTCTTTTGCCCCAGAGATAATGGTACGTGCCTCTTGAGCATTTTTTGTTCCATCAGCGAGCTTAACAGTCTCTTCACCCCAACAGATCTTAGCGTGCTTCCGCATATTACTGGTTGACTTCACATCCTTCTTGTCAAGGTAACGACGGACCCCTTTCTTGCAGCTCGTTGCTGCGCACTTGAATTCGTGGAAGCGGCGGCCCTCATGGTACCCAATTTCCGGAATCAGTTCAGTTTCCGAATTGTCATCAACATCCTCATGTTCGGAGGAGACCTCAACAACTTCGTTATCACTGTGAAGAGCCTCTTCCTCTTCCTTGGTCCGGACGACTGCTCGATGGCTTTGCGTCGAAGGAGTTGGCGAGTCTTCGGAATCTGATGCCACGGTCATGGGATGCTTCCCTGACCTTTTGGAGGTAAGTTCATGACTTGCCTTGCATTTTATGATCTGTTTGACATTTGATAAGAATTCTCGTGCCTTTTCGGTGGGCTTGCGCTGTCTTTTGTCTGCCATTGATCCGAAGTACGAGATTTTCTCAGGTAGAAGTAGTTCTTAGATTAGAAGTATTTCCTTAATAGATTTGGGTGGCAAATCCTCATTCAAGGTTTGTGATGATGTGCCATATAAGAGTAAAACTGTACAGTTGAATTGCCTTCATGTTCAAATGTTCTCGAGCTAAATACCCACCAACCCATACTCAGGGGTATGGGTATTTGAAGGGTCAACAAGCTGAGACCCCTACCCAACCCACGAGTACCCCTACCCATGACCCACGTGGGTATCCCAAACCCATGCTATTGCCTAGATCGGACGAGACTGGCTGCAGACCCAGGACGCAC